GTTGCAGCACCACCAGCCTGTGCTCACACCCTCAGAGCTGGATGCCTGTTTTAAATGAACAAATAAACATTGGCCTTCCAGGCTTGGAAACTTACCCTCTCCACATGTTGTCTGATCAGCTCCTGTGGTGGGTGCCACGGGCAGTGCAGGGCTGGCACATGCACTGGTACGTGCTTTGCTTTACATCCCGCTAGAAAGGCTCTGTGAGGGGGAACCACATCCACCCCTCTCAGCCCAGGTGCTGAGCCAAAGGAAGCCTTAATCCTCTGTCCCGCGACATGACAGTGTTTCAGACTGACTTAATGCAAATAAAGATTAATGCAGCTTCTAGGCCCATCATCACTCCAAAGCTTCACAATCTTAGCGAGGGGAGAAATCTGATGGGCTTTAGCTCTCGCTTGCATGAGTAACGCTGTCCTCACCTGCCCTTGTGCCCTGATGGGGCTCCCCACCATTGTCACACTACAATTTGGCATGGGTGGCCGATGGGCAGGACTCAGCTCCTGCCACAGGGAGAGGAGAAGGCTGCACCCCATGCACAGCAGCCTGTTGTTTCCGTGGCAGGCTGGATGCCCCTGGAACACCAGCATCAACAGCCGGATTCCAGGCACAGCAGCAGCCGGGGACCGTTCTGAGTTAATTTTCCCTTTGTTTTCCTGTGATCCGGGCTGACGCGCCGGCTGGCTGCAGGCCCTGCCAGGAGACAGGGAATCAATTACCCCCATGCCTGGGATTGAATTGCACTTGGCGAGCGACCAGGCGCTGTGGGCTCCTGCCCTGCAGCCCAGCGCGGGGACCAGGCGCAGCGCCTCTGTTCAACTGCAGGCAGTGGTCCAGGCGCAGGCGATCCGCCTGCGTTCCTCGCTCATTCCCATTCGGAAGGCTTCGGCAGCTTTCCTGCCCATGTCAAGATGTTAATGATGAAAAGCCCGCTGGTGTGTGGCTGTGTGAATCAAAGTGCTCCATTTGAAAAGGCACTTCAGTAAGAATCAAACCTTTGCTGCACAGCCAGGGGTCTGAGCTGGTGGAGCCACCCAGATGGACATCAGCAGCTGGCTCTGATGTGCCCATGGAGCTGAGCAGCTCTCCCCATGCCTCCTGCACTGGGGACCTTGGGGAGGCACAGTGAGCAGCAGCCCCTTCACCCCCTCCGCACCCCATCAGCACTGATGCCCGGCAGGAGATGCTGACACTGCCTTTCCCAGGATGCTGAGAGGTAGAAGAGGACTTCCCAGTCCTGTACTGGGGAGGAAGGGGGATGCACACCTGGAAGCCCTATTCTGAGATGGCACAGGAGCATTGGCTGCTCTCAAATGCTGGTCCCAGCACTCAGAGGAGGAAGCCCCTGGGAGATGAAAGCCTCTGGGGCCCAAAGGCCACCCAGACAAGCTGCGTTTACGCACAAAGATCACAGGAGACACCGTGTGCCACCACCCTGTCCCGAGTGAATTTATGAGCTCCAGAATCAATACTCAAACACCAGCAAGTCCAGAGTGCAGGAAGAAGAGCAGAGAAGCAACAGCCCCAGCAGAGAGGGGACTTTGCCATGTGGGAATGACCACACGATCCTGCAAAACACCCGCGCCACGGCAGCAGCTGGGGAAGCACCATCCTGTGCTGTGAACCTTCCCAGCAGCCCAAGCACAGCTGCCCCATTCCATCTGTGGCTGTTGAGGTGGGACTTGCTCCTCTCATCCCAGCAGCTCCCCGGGACATTGCAGGGAACAAAAATCCTCCTTGGACCCAGCAACAGAGGTCTGGACGCTTTGGTTCCTCTGCCCTGAGGTTGCACAGCTCCTTTATGAGGGGTCCTGCTGGCATTTGTCCCCCTCCTTTCCACCCTTGCAGTGGCAAAGAGCTAAGGAAAGCAAAGCAGAGGCACCAGCCCCGCATTTGTATCCCAAATGGGCTGTTTTAAATAGAAACCAAAGCCCAGGATGGAAAAGCTCCAAAACAAACCAATTTAGCACCCAGTGAACAATTTATAAGACAAACACTGTTTCTTCTCCTTCTGAACTAAATGCAGATGATTTATGGTCTCCTCAAGCCTGCTTGTTACCTGGAAGTCTGCCCCAGCTCCTTCCCACCAGGTATGTCTGGGCTGCAGCTGCAGACCAGCAGCAGATAAGGATGTTTGGGCAGCACTGGCTGGTGTGATCCCAGCTGCTCCATGACTCCCTTTTGTTAATCCTTATGATCAACTACGCAGCATCAATGACCCTGGTGCTTAGCAATGCAAAATGGCTTTTCTGCACAAATCCCTTGTCTGTCATTGACCATTTCCACAGTAACCTAGCTGTGACAGGCTGATGCCACCCCACCGACCCAGGCTGGCACCCCTGCATCCCTGCTGTTACCTGTGGAATGGACCAGAGCTGCCCCAACACCAGCATCCCGCAACGCAGCACCAGGCATCACAGTGCAGGGGCCACAGAGGGACCAGATTTAATTGAAACCCAGGGCTTTCATCAGGAACACGAATAACTGCAGGAGGCACGTTAGTGCTGTGACGTAAGGGATATTTTGCCTGTTTTTTCTTAGCCTGCCCCATCCATCGCTGTCCAGCAATAAATGCCTCATTTTGGAACAGTCATTCTGGCTTTAAAACCCAGCCCTTTGGACAATGGTTAAAATAAGACAGGTAACAGCAGACTCTACACTAGCCGAGGGCTGTTGAGCCTGCTGGCATTCCCAGATGGGATGCTGCTCTGCTCCAGGCAGGCAGAGTAGCTCTCGGTGGCTGTAGGCAGCCACTTGGGAGATAAAGTGCATGTGTGCATGACTGTGGGAAGCTGTTCATGAGCTGCCTTTCCTCCAGTAACTGGGATAGAGGGGACAAAGGGCAAAGTCTGCTCCTCCAGCAGGGAAAGGGCTGGTGGTGTTAGAGTTAATCACAGCCGCAGAGCATGGCTGCGGATCTGTGGGGAAGCCCTGTGGGAATCACCACCTGATTTACAGCAGACGGATGTCAGCATCACCTCAGCCTCCAGCATGTCTGCTGCTGCTGTGGCCACTGTCAGCCACACACCGCACTGCGCCAGCGCCAGCCACTGCTCTCTCCCATGCCACGAAGGGGATGGTGGCACCAGAGGGGTCCATGCACCCCGCCATGAGGTCAGTGTGCTCCCGGGGCTGAGCAGTGCTGCATGGAGCAAGGCCAGCGCTGGGCATCTCCCCATGCAGTACCAAGAGGCAGTGAGACAGTCATGGAGGTACATTACAGCAGGAACACTGGGCTCCAATGCTCACAGTGTGCCATGAGCAGTCAAACACAGGGTCATGACCAGACTGTTATTAGTATCGCAACTTAAACACACACATCCAAGGGATGTGGGCACCTGGAGGAGCCGAAAGGGTTACTGATGGTTCAGCTGATACCCCTTGGTTATACCTATTCTGTAAGCATTAAGCAGGAGGCTCCTGCACAGCCCAGGCAGTGAGAGCTACCTACCTAAGCTACAGTGGGGAGGTTGTAGGGTTTTGAAGGGCCAGGCACAGCAGGACACCAGGACTTCAGCTGGGCAATGAGTGACCTCAGTGGGTGCATAAGAGGGACTATTACAGATGTTAGAGTCGACCCAGTACCCACTGAAATGCAAAGCCTGGGTTTCGCCGATGAGGGGACAGTGGAGGCAGGGGGTGAGGATGCGCGCGGCTCTGGCAGAGGTTACTGGGGTGCTCCTGCAGAACTGCTGACCAGGCACAGCAGCAAGAAAACAGCCTTGGAGGAACTGATGGGCCTGGTGGGAGGAAGTGCTAAAAATCCACCAGGAGAGGAGGCAGCAGGAGAGTCCTAAATGAACCCAGCACAATTACATCTGCGAGGCTACAGCTGAGATAGATAGCACAAGGACAGGGCTGCAGAGAGGGCTGAGGCTTAGAGACCTTGCAGGAGATGAGGAAACATAAAGGCAGCCATAAAGCAGCCCAGCTTCATCAGCCTCTTGGTGTGGGGGAAAGTGACGAATGCAGGGGCAGCAAACCTGACCTACAGGCAAAGGCTTGCAGGGCTTGTGCAGATGCACCCTGTCTGCTTCAGGGAAGAGCTGGGTGCAGGGAGGCAGTGATGCTGAGAATGCCCTGGAGCAGGTGCACAGCTTCCTGCTTGTGAGTCTGCCCAAGACATTAACTGAGCAAAGGCCAATGGCTGATCTCCTTCTGCTGGACAAGAAGGCAGTAAAGCTCTTCCTGTAGTGCTGACAGACCTTCTGAGGGGCCTGGGAGCCAGGAGAGACAGAAGGCTGCATGGGGTGAGGAAGGGTGATGGGGCCTGAGCATGAGGATCAATTACCAGAACCAGCACTGCACCACACAACAGCTATCAGGGGATGGGAGGATGATAACACACAGGACCAGGAGGGCACATACATCAGGGAATGGAAGGACTTCTCTATGGGCTGAAGGGGAGCATAACAGAAGCAGGTGGCATGATACCTGAGAGCTGGCTTAATGGAGCCAGGGCCACCCATGCCAGGGCCACCCAGTGACCATTTCTCACATTCTGAGCCTGACACCCCCTGTCCCATCATTTCCAGTTCATTCAATGGTCCTGTGTGGCTTTACAAGCTCCACAAGTGGTGCTGATGCACAACCCCCCACCAGTCCTCTCGACTACCTGCACCCAGGCATAGCCATGGACTGCTCTTCTCCATCCCTGAGCAGAGGTGAGATGCTGACCTGCCTCCAAAGGGCCCTGCTACTCACCTGGGCTGTGTAACACCAAGGACCCTGCTCAAACCACTGGGTAAGTATTTGGGTCACAACCAGAAGGCCACCATGCACTGCACACCCGTGGTGTCAGCCCCTGCCTCTGCAGCGCGTGCAGCCAGGCAGGGGAGATGCCACAGACCACAAGCCCTGTGACCGCGATGTGGGTCCCTAGAGTCTCCAAGCAGATGCTCCAGCATGCACTGGTGTCCTGAACCCCCTCAGTAGCGAGCACCAAGCCCCCAGCCACAGCCTCTACACCAACCCCTCTCCCCTGTGGTACCCGTGCCTACCTTGGCATCCAGGATGCTCGTCTCCACGCGGGCCACCCCCTGGTTCTCCCTGAAGAGCTGGATCTTGCTGACCTTGCTGAACTCTGACAGCACCGTGGTGAGGTTCGTCTTCAGGTCGATGACGTGGCTGATGCCGTGCCGGGGTCCCACCAGCAGCGTGGTGGCTGGCTGCTTCTCGTCCTGGCAGCACAAACACACGGAGAGACAGACGGACAGGGGTGAACGAACGCACCCTGGGGCTGCGCCTGGCTCTGCCCATGGAGCCAAACCAGCTCAGCTGGGTCCCAGGTGGCTGTTACAGAGCAGGAGGAGAAGCTGGTGCTGTGAATCCCCCATCCCTGAGCCTCTCTGAGAAGCTCAGAAGGGTGTGCAGGATGCCAAGCCTATTTAAATATAAAGCACTGAACTGAGTGTCCACATGAAATATTCAGGGCTGCCGGTGTCACTACACAGAAGTAGGAGCTTGTTATAAATCTGCCTGATCTGACATTGCCTCTGAGAGAAGGAGGCAGAGGAGGGAGTGAATGCGTTTAGAAAAGCAGGAAGACTCAAGCCTTTGACTGAAAATAGAGATCTTTCTTGCTCTGGTCTGCCCAGGAAAGATGACCCTGCGGCGCTGAAGATGTGCCCTCCTGTCTGCAGGGGCTCCGAAGGCTTTTCTGGATGGGCTTGGACCCCAGCAGGGCAGAGCAAGAGACCAAAGGAAGCAGTTTCAGTGAGAGCCTCCCCTGCCCTGTTTCTTCCCTCCAGGACCAGCGCCAAGCACCTCCCAGCCCATTCTGCATTACCGTACCAGTCCCACTGTGTTGAAGAGGACGCCAGCAAAGGTGGGCAGCTCGTTCAGGATCCGCAGGTACTGCAGCTTCGCCTGGGCTGTGGAGACCTGACAAAACACATCACACAGGTGGTCACCATCAACATGAGGGAGGAGAAATGAGCCCCTAAGAACATGCAGCACATTGGCATGGGCTGTGCTGGCTGCCAGCCTGGGAGCTTGACATGTGGTGGAGGGACCAAGGCATCTCCCCTGGGCAGGTGCTGGGAGGTAACTTGGAGCAAAGGTAGAGCCGGGGAGGAGCCCAGATGCTTGATGTAAACCCCCCAGGGGATGTATAATGCCCCTAAAGATGTATATGGGGCTATATAGCCCCCACCAAGGTAGCTTTGATGGCTTCAGGGATGGAGGTGGTGGCTCAACAGCCTCCTCCAGAGCTTTCCAAGCCCAGAAGCAGAAATAACGATAAACACGGGCTTAATAGAGGTGTGCTGCTTTGGCCAAGCTGAGAGTCGGCTCCTGGCTGATCCCATTGCACCAATCCTCACTGCGGCCCCCAAAATCCAGATTCAGAAGTGGATTCAGGAGAGAGAGTGGTGCCTGGCTGTCACCCTGCGATTTATCCCCCATCCAACGGGACTTAAGCAGCAATCACAGGAGCCCCCAGGCAGCTGGGGACAATAGGATGTCCTGGGGCACAGGGCACGGTACCACCACCAAGCCCTGAGGGTCGGACTCACCTTGGTGCCGCCAGGCTGGCTCTGGTGGGCTTTGAGCTGCTGCGAGAGGGATTTCCGGAGGCTCTTCTCCTTGATGAGCTGCAGGAGCGAGGGGGGCAGGAAGGGCTCCAGGCCCCACTCCTTCCTGCGGGAGGGAAGTCACCAACCAGCTCAGAGACCCACAGAGCAGGGATGCTGCCCGAGAGCATCCCTTCGCCATCAGAGGGAGCCGCAGCTGCACCAGGGCTTCCTCGGTGTCACAGCGGAGCAGTGGCAGTCCCCAGCCTGGGTCCCCAAGGGGATCGGACCCTCAGTTAGTGTCAAAGCCACCAGCACCGGCCCGGGGAACGCAGCAGTGTTCCCATTCACCATCCTGGTAAGGGATGCAGGGCGAATCCCCAAACCTCTTTTGGGGGCCATCTCCCCCCTTCCTCCCTGTGTACACTGGGCAAGGCCAGCCTGCTCAGACAGACTCCGTAGGGATTAAAGACCACTGGGAAGCACAGGAGAGCTGAGCCATGGCTGCATGGCTTGGTGACGGGCTGTGATTATGCAGGCAGCATGCTTTCTCCTTGCCTCGGATGCCAGGCAGAAAATCAGCCTGGGTTCCCATGGAAATGATCCTGGGCTCGCAGCAAATATCCTCACCAGCCCTGGTGAGGCTGCTGTGTAAAGATGGATGTCACTGTGTGAGGGTCTTACACAGCTCCATGGTGGGACCAGGGACTGAAGTCACTGCTCACAAGCCTGGGAGCCACTGGTCAGCTCCAGAGGGGCTCCCAGGGCATCACTTGGCACCCCGAAACGTTGCTGGGAGCACCCCAGTTAACAGGGACTGAGCCGGAGCACAGAGAGGGGACCCAGAGGGGGCTGTGCGGCAGCATGGGGACAGGGAGCAGGACTCACTCCACGTTCTTGAGGGAGACCTTCTGGCTGGGGCGGGTGGCCGAGACAGTGATGTAGATGTGGAGGGCAGCCAGCCCCAGCAGCATCTCTGGTTTGGGGTCTGTGCTGAAGCGCTCTCTGATCACATCATTGCGGCTCTACAGGAGGGAGGAGAGGAGGCCTCAGTCATGGGGACGGAGCACCCATCGCCTGAGGGATGCTCTACAGGGCAGACTCATGGGCCATGAGCACCATCAGATCCCAGGTGAGTCCCCTACCTGGATGTACAGGTACTCGAATGCTGCAGGATCCCGGCGTAGCAGCTCCATCGGGTCCTTGGGGAAGAAGCTCACACGGAAAAGGCATCTCATGCCATGGTAGTGTGTCCTCTGTACAACCTGCGGCAGAAGGGAGCAGTGAGCCCAGGAGTCATGTACATTCAGATCCTGTTATCCTGGGAACAGCCCAGCTTTCCTTGGTGTGACAGCTTTGCTTGGGGCTGCAGTGGTTTATGCCACCAACACTTCCATCATGATCCCCATTTTATCCCTGGTCCCGTGCAGCACCAGCTTCCTGGCTCTCCTGGGCAGGCCAAAGATGTTCCTGAATGCTGTCTGTAGCTGCACAGCTATAGCATAGAGCATCTTCACTGTGCTGTCAGGGTGGGATGGGTTCAACCCTGGTCATCTCCCTCTTTGGCTACCCTCTGCACCCTGAGCAGGCAGGACCATGCCAGAGGCAAGGGGAGGCTCCACCACCCCACAGCACAACCCCAGTCAAGCCCCACTCTGGTGGCAGAAGAGCCTCCCTGTGCCCACCACCATTCCAGTGACCTTCCTGCACTTACGTGGGCCAGCGGCTGCTTGTCCTGGAGCAGCAGGAACCGGTGGCTCTGCTCCGGGCTGGAATACTCCAGGACCAGGGCAAAGTGCTCGATGTGCCTCAGGGACAGGCGGTCCTGCAATGTCACCATCACGTCCTGCAAACGCCATGGACAGGCTTGGGTGCAAGGCACAGGGTGGGAGCTGGCACCCCACTGACAGCTCCTTCCTCCCTGGCACCGAGGGCCAGTGCAGGATGAGGTCATGGAGTGCAGAGAGGGGCTGCAGGGTGGTACCCAGCCACTGCCAGATGTAGGGATATCACAGCAAGAGGTGACCAGAAGCCAGACCTCCGGTAACACTGCGGTGTTTGGAGGCTGCAGGGAGCCGTCCCCTGGTGGGGATGCTCACAGGAACATCCATCCTGCCTGGAGGGCAGCTTCACAGCAAGGGGGAAAGTTAGGAGCGGGAGAAGGACAGCAAAACCTCATCCATGCCAGCTGCAAAGCGTGAGCCTGGGGAGGTGCAGGGGCCATCTATCATGCAGTGGCAGTTCACAGCCAGGCAAGCACCGCTGCGGTTCTTGTGCAAGGAAGCAGGAGACAAGGAAAAATGTATGAGGCAGGCGGGAGGAGAGGAGCATCACGGAGCCATGCGGAGAGCGGAGGGGCCCACCTTCACGGTGGTTCGGCCATCGAACGTGAAGGATTTGATCTGCCCATTCTCCAGGAAAACCTTCAGCACATTAGGAATGAGGAGGAGAGCTTCTTTCTTCAACATGTCCTGGCACATGGGGCCGGCAGGAGGCGAGGCGAGAAGGATTGGGGGCACGGAGAGACAGAGGGAGGGAGGGGAGAGAGAATGAGCATCAGTGATGGGCCGGTTTCGGCATCCTCTGCTTCTCTGGGCTGATGTGCTAAGAGGCACATTTCCTTTGAAAACCCAGTGTCTGCTGATCCATCGGGAAGCAGCAGTTCAGAGATTGACACATTCACATCCCCAGCTCCCTGCAGCTGCAGCGGGAACAGAGCTTCCCATTCGGTCTGGCACATTCCAGATCCTGTCTCGCTCCCCTCCTGGTGTCCCAGAAGGGAGGGAGTGGCCAGGATGGTTCAGAACCAAACCCTTTTCCTGACCCGTAACCCAAGCCGAGCCCACCTGAACCCTGCCCATGCGCTGTGCAGGAAGGTGGGTGAAGGCTGATTTATGTAGCAAGAAGCGTTTCGATCAGATAACCATGTAATTGATTTGCTTAAAAATAGAATTTGCTACAAGCACTTTACAGAGTTGCATTTTCTGGTTTTGTTCTCTTCTTTTGCATGCTGCTTAATAAAACCTTCCTGCAATTAAGAGATAATGGCGCTGGGCTGCAATGCTGCTGCAGCGTAACAGCTTCCATTGCCACGCAACACCCTGGTCACCCTGCCCCATTCATGGGTGCTCCTGAAAAGCCTTTGGCACCAGGGTGGAAGCCACAGACTTTCCTTATGGCAGGCATCGGATGTCACCATTGGGTGCCCAGGGGGATTTGGATGGGACCAGGTTTCCGAGGACAGCTCCTGAGGCTCTATCCAGAGGATGTCCCCCCAGCACCATGAGTGTGCCCGAGGGCATCCTTGGGCTGCTCCCACTATGGAGCCCAGATCAGAGCAGAGGAGCCCTGTGCCCCCCAGGCTGTCTCAAGGGGGTGAAACCCAGAGGAAGGCAGGGCAGGACTTACTGGGTCTGTGTCGCCAACTGTCACCTGCTCTGAAAACCGGACCTTGGCCGGGTTGGATCTGAGCTTCGCCTTCTTGGCTGCGCTGATGAAAGCAGATTTGGGAGACTGGAAAGAGAGCACCGGGTAAATCACCTGCCTGCCCTCAGTGGTGCGGGGGAAGCCAGACATAGGGCGGAGAGAAAGCTGGGATGGGGAGCGGGCAGCAAACCATGAAATGGGGTTGGGAAGAAAATCCCCTCCACTGTGCTTGTACAGCGCTGCAGGCAGCGCCAGGATGATGAGCAGCAGCCCCTGAGGTCACACCAGCACCCTCAGTGTGATGGGGGGCCTGCACCCCCAGTGCCTGGCACCCTCTATGCAGGCTGATCTCCAGCACACAGAAGCCAGGGCTTGCTCGGAGGCATGGGTTTGGGTGGGAGAGATGAGCACTGGTGTCAGCTGAGCAGGGCCATGAGGAAAACAGAGCTCTTATGGAGCCCAGCACTGATGGAGCAGCACTAGGTGCTGGCATCTCCCTCCCAGAAAGAAGCAAAGCGCTCCCACTTGTCTTCACCAACATCAAAGGGCTCAGTAGAGCAGAAATGATGCCCTGCCAACCACTGCTGCTTCGTGACAGTTCAGTCTGCTCCAGTGCCACTGGTGCTGAGCCCTAGGGCACCAGTGCCACCGCCTGCTGCACTGCTTATGGCTGAGCCAGCCAGGAATGGCACATCCCGCTCTATCGCCCCTGGCATGGTGGGTCACTTCAGACATGAGTGCCCTCAGCAAACTGCATGGGTCTGGGGACATTTTTCCTCCCTTCCTTCCTACTTCCTTGCAGTGACAAGGGCAGGGATATGGCTGCATGGCCACACCAACCCTGCAGGGCCATGGCAGCACTCAGACCCAATAGCTTGGAAGAGCCTTGGTGTGGTGGGACACCAGCCCGACACCTCAGCTGAGCTCCCCGGGGCCTCCAGAGATCCCACCTCAGTCTCCCAAATGGCTCTTATCCCCTGTCCTGGCTCCCCTGGGGCTGATCATGGCCCCTCCAGTCTCACCTGGTGGGTGTGCAGGACCGTGAGGATGATGAAGTCCTTGGCCTTCCTGCAACAGAAAGGAGAGATGAAGGTGGATGGGACCTCATGGTGGTGGACCTCAACACGTGCATTTGGCTATCAAGAGAGAGCATCCCACCCTTCCCAGCCCAGTGGCGGCCGTGATCTTTGTGGTGCCCTTTGGGTGCTTGGTAACACTGCTGTGGGTGCTCTCCCAGTGCTGTCCATCTCTTGGTCATCTGGGAACAGGTACAGCACTTGCCCCAAGGCACTCCCCCTGCTCAGACTGAGGCTTCCCCATCCCAGCAGTGACCACCACCAGTGACAGAGCAGCCTGGGGATGTGCACTGACCAGCTCAGCACGAGCCCCCTCCCCTGCACAGAGGCAATGCAGGATGAACATCGTCCTCACCTGACAAGCTCAATGAATCTCTCTCTGGGGGCTTCGCTCACATCCTCATCATTGATGGCCAAGATCTGGTCTCCTGGCAGGAGTTTATCCTCAGAGGGGCCACCTGCCAGGAGAGACGGTCAGGGCCAGCCCAGGCATCCCGGGCTGCGGGGCTGGGTTGAGGCAGGAGGGTCCCAAGCAACCCCAAAGCCTGTGGCCCACCGAAGGGAACAGGAACCCATGGAGGGGTCCCACCAAGGGAAGGTGCCGCCTTGCGCACAGACCCCCCCCCCACCGCACACCCTACCTGCTGCCACCGAGCGCACCACCACCGGCCTCTCGCTGCCGGCCACGAAGCCGAACCCGTAGCAGGGGTGGCGCTGGACCGTCACCTGTCGGAGCGTGTCCGAAGGCAGCTGCCCACATTCCATATCATCGCCGCCGCGCTCCTCCGGCATCACATGTCAGCGCTGCAGGGCAGAGGGCAGGCTGTAACGCACCCCGGCACCCCCCGCTCACCCCAGTGCCGCAACTCCTGCGTCTCTGGTGCGTGCTGGGGCATGCACAGACACCCCCGTCCAACCTTGCAGAGGGGCACTGCACCAGCCGCTTAGGCAGGGGGATGTAGGACAAGAGGTATCAGCTTCAAGCTGCACCAAGGAAGGTTTAGGTTGGATGTTAGGAACGGTGTCTTCCCCAAAGGGTGCTCAGGGATTGGAACAGGCTGCCCAGGGCAGTGGTGGGGTCACCGTCCTTGAAAGGGCTCACAAACAGTGTAGATGAAGCCCTCAGTGCCATGGGTCAGTGGTGGCCTTGGCAGTGCTGGGGTAAAGGTGGGACTTGATCTTAAAGATGTTTTCCCACCTAGTTGATTCTATGATTCTGTACTCATGGAGATACCCCCCCAGGGTAAACCATGGCATCCTCTCCCAGCGTCTCACCAGCCTGTCCTTGTCCCCACACCTCACTTCCTTAGAGGGCAGATCTGTGCGGGATAAACTCCTGGTGGTGTGACTCTAGCTATTACCTGGGGGATGCCACCAGGATGCAGAGGAGGTGCAGTCCTGGCATGGCTGGAGTGTCATCTCTCTGCCTGTTCTGCAGAGGTTGGCTTTTTCATGCCATGTAACAGAGCTCCACAATATCTGAGATGTGGACACAAGTTCAGCCAGTCTAAAACCAGGATTAAGGCCGGTTCAGCCACGGCTGTTGGCACTATGGCACAGTCTGTGCAGCCAGCCTCAGGACTCTTTGAAGCATTGACAGCCAGAAGATAGGAAGACCCAGGGCAAGGTCATGCCAAACCTGCCCTTTGCATCCCAGAGCAATGCCAGCCATGGCTCCAGGCCACTTGGCAGGGCTGCGAGCCTGCTATCAGGGTGCAATCCCAGCACCGTTGGGATGGCAGTACAGCACAGACAGATGGCAACGTGTATGGCCACAACCAGAAAAACAAAGTGATGAACACACCATTGTTTCTGTGCTGCTCATCGCTTCTTCCTGTCCAGACTATTTAGCCTGCTTAAAAAAAGATCTTTCTTGTCCTTTTGGCAACACATCAATTGTCCCGTCTCTTATCAGGTTAGGATTTGACGCATCATCCATCTAATGCAATCTGTCTGCATTTCCCACACCCCCTGCCTGCTCCCAGCACCGCACATTAGCATCCACTGCAGTGGGAAGAAGGACGGCACACGGGGCTGAAAGAGAACAGGAGCTTCTTTCACAACAGGAGAAGCTGTGGCTGCCCCATCCCTGGCAGTGTTCAAGGCCAGGTTGGACACAGGGGCTTGGAGCAAGCTGGAAGGTGTCCCTGCCCGTGGTAGGGGTTGGAGCTGGATGAACTTCAAGGTCCCTTTCAAAACAAACCATGCTAGGTTCTTACCTCTCCACATGAGCACACGTGCAGCTTTGGGGAGCACATCACTGCCAGGAAAGACAGTCCAGTGCTGCCCCTGATCCTCAGCTGAGCTGTGCAAACATCCTTTAAGGGAGTAGGGTCTGTCCCTGTCCCTGCTTCCTTGTCTCCCATGAGAGCCAGGAGACCTCAAGCATCGGGTGCCTTTCCCTGGAGTCAGGGATACAGCGCTGGCTGTGGATGAGTGGCACTCTGTGGTGATGGGATGCCACCACTGCCCGGCCCACACTGACCCATCCCTGCTGCCCAGCCAGATGGGTACCTGCGGCTTTCCCCTCCCTCATGTGGCGTCACATGGCTGGGGAAGCAAAACTGAGATCCGTGGAAGGGATGCTGAGGAGCAGAAGGATGCGGGCATCTCCTGGTGTGTGTGTGGGGGGGGGGGTCCCGCTCCCACCAGGAGTCCCAGTTGTGGCGCAGCACCTGGAGGAGCGGATTGCAGGGCTGGATCCATCACCGGGAGCGGGCAGCTGCAGGGCAGCGCAGGCAGGACCGTCTCCCCTGCGGCTGGCTCCGCACCGCGCCATTAGCTGCTCTGCTGCTCCCATGAGCATTCAGAAGAACAGCAGCAACAACAAAAACATCACACGATTCACCCAATTTTCTCAAACGCGCATTATCTGAAGCCATTGTCTGCAGCTGAAAAGGGGACTGAATGCAGCGCTGTGTCTCCACACGCCTGGCGTGGCCAGGGGAACGCCTGCTGCTTGCAGAGATGGAGCTGGCTGCCAAGAGACAGCACAGCCACCATGAGAGCTGCTGGCTTCTCATGGGAGGACTCCCCCTTCCCCAAACTGCCCACAGTAACTCCTGCCCCCTCATCCAGTCAAACCCCCTCAGGGCATGAACATGGGGATGAACCACAGGGCTCAAAGCACTGGGATGATTCAAGGATGTGACTGAGCTCAGTGTGATTGTTGTGGGGAAACCAGGGCAGGTGTTTGCCCAGCAAGTCACAGCCAAGTGGATGACAAATCCAAGCATACAGCTGTCCAGTTAAAGCTGTCGTGTCCCCACATCTGTCCTGCTCTGTGCAGTTTGGGTGTGGGTCTCACCACCGCTCCTCCCCTTGCTCAGCTGAATTACCATCAGGAAAGGTTAGCAGGGAAATCTTTGCGGCTTAAATGGACAAAAGGAAAAGAAAGCACATCTCATCTTAGCCACAATCAGCCTGCCAGAGGGAAGAGGGGAATAAAGAGCTGGATACCATCAGTAAAACTCTTAACCAGGCTCTTAAGCTGCTCCTCTCCTGATAAGACTTCCACACTGCAGATGCATTACCAGGAAATTAAATAACAGAGGACCCAAGTCCTTGTAAGCAGGATTTACCCACTCGTGGAGCAGCAGTATCGTGCTCAGCAGCAGGTACAACATGCCTTCTCTGGGCTGTGGCTCTCAACAGCCTTCCCACAGCAGCTGGCCCGTGCTGAGCCTGGGGCATGACCAGAGCAAGAGGTGGGAGAAAACCAGCATCAGGTAATGCTCTCCCTAACACTGGTGACTACACCTTGGCTACCCCCCAGGAGCCATTGCTTCCCTGAAGCCTGTTTTGTGTGTTTCTTCTTCCAATTCCTCAGCAGAGAAGTGCACTGGGGTGAACATCTCTTGCAATGAAAATGGCACAAGGGAAAATGGACTTGCCAGGAGAAGCTCCCTGCGGCCAGCAGCAGCAGGAACCCGTGGATGTGCCCCTGTGGGAGATGTCTGCTCCCCATCTGGCTTTTTACTGTGTCTCAACTGACACAGCATGAAGACACCCCCTCTCTTGGGGCTTGGACACCCATGCTACAGAGCAGGCTGAATCCAGAGCCCTCATTCCCATCCAGACAGATAAAGGCAGAGCAAGAGTTACTCCAAAAGCTAACATGTATGTCTTTAACATCCTACTGCAATGAATCCCCACTCCCTCCGAGCACTGGTTTCTCCCCTTTGCTTGTAGTGCTGAGTGTCCATCCTTGCTAGTGGGAAAAGACACCAGAACAAACCAATGCCACCTGACTGGGAGAAGCAATGGTCTCTATGTACCCAGAACACATGCACCATTTGCAGCTGCCTTTAAAAAGGATGGAACCACATGGAAACACATTCTGCAGGTGAAGAAGAGCTGAAAGCAGCTCCTAGGAAGGGGAATGGGTACAGAAAGGTCTTGAGCCCGCTGTGGAGGGGCAGTTTGCACAGATGGGCTGCAGGGCTGGGTGCCAGCTCTTCTCCCTCTTCCTCTGCTGCCATGAACACCCTGAGAACAAACAGAGCTTGTGGATTCCACTGCAGAACCATGCCCAGCTCCTCCATCTGCCGGGCTGCAGTTGGTGAGCGGCTTGCGAGGCGTGTGGGATCCTGAGCACGTGTGGCAGTGGCAGGAAATGCCGGGGAACAGGCCAAGAAGTGTTTTTATGGGGAGCATATGGCAGCTCCAGCCTCAGATGCTGGTTTCCATCTCAGACAGAGCCTGCGGGGCTGCCAGGGTGCATGGGGACCAATGGCAGGGGCACAGGCAGAGCTGGGATGTGCAGCTCTGCTCCATCAGCCCCACACTTCTGCACCCAGCATGTACCCAGTCACCTTGGAAGCTGCCATTTGGACCATGTTAACACGTCAGAAGTCCCCACCAAGGGTAAAGAGATGCTGCACTTCCAGACCCCCATGAGACTGCTCAGCCGTGCTTATGCGCAGTGGTTGATGGCTCAGGAAAGGCTGCCCTTGCTTTAGCAGCAGCTAATGCTGGCTGAAGAGTGCTGGACCAAGGGGTGCCAGCCTGGCTGAGACCAACACTAACAGCCGCAGAATGACCCAGACCTTCACAGACCCAGCCTGGAGACCTGCAGTGTACAGCTCTGCCATATGGCCCAGGGCTTTAACCCGTGCTCCAGCTCGGATCTGCTCTCAGCATTAGGAAGCAATTTAAAACTCAGCAGAGCAATTCAAAAGGTTTCCTTTGCTGCTGGCGCTGGGTCTGTCCTGAGCTGGCAGGTACACCAGGTATGCTGCTGGTACAGAGGCTGGGTGCCAGATAGCAACTGTGAGGGCAAAAATACCCTGTGCGTTCAGCACAGGAGCAAGCGGATGGTGAGCAGCATTCCCCAGCACGGCTGGAGCTGAACTGCCAAAGGCAGCTGTAAATAACAAAGGCATAGCCAGGCTCTAGGCAGCAGCCACAGCTCTGCTGCTCAGCCTGTAGCCTTTCAAACAGCCCTGGCACCCCTGCTAGGGATAAGAGGGATGGAGGCCAGGTGGGAATGCCAGGACCTATGATACCACAGGGGTGGCTGAGAGGGATGGAGAGGGGCTCAGCCTTCCCTGGCAACAAGTGGGACCAGCCCAACTCAGTGCTGCATCTTGAGGGTGAGAGAGGCCATTCCCAAAGGAATGCTGCTTGTTAATGGAAAATACAGCATGAGCACAGCTAACAAAGACCATGCACCCAACCTAACACAGGGAGAAAGTGTCCTGAAACAAGCCCTGTGAGACAGCCAAAAGTACCACTGGGAATCTAAAGCCAAACCTGAATCACACCTTCCACAGGCAAACACAAACATGGTCTTCCCCCTCTAAGACTTGGGCTCTCCAGCCTAGAAAGGCTAAGAAGAAGAGGGACTGTGATGGGGACCCTAAAACCAGCCTGACATGGGGCAAGGAGCTGGCCCTGCATGAGAACTGGAGGAGGTTTAGCATGTGGAAAAGGCAGGACTTGGCCACCCAAGAGCAAGTTAATCCCTGGAGCCCACTGCTCCAGCGAGGGGAGGCTGTAAATCCAATTGGGTTTGAAAAGCAATTTCCAGCTACTAAAGCCAGAGGTCCCCAGAATTCCCATGCTATAATTTGTCAAATCCTGTGAGAGTTGACACCAGGAAGTGTGTGATCAGGATGAGCCCTCTCCCTCAATACACAGTGGGAAGGGCATGCTGTGTCCCGGCACAGCGAAGGGACACGTACCCACCTGTGTGTGTCAGGCCACTGGCATGGGCTCCCCGGGGCACATGTGAATGTGGCAGAGATGGGACCCCACTTGCATGCGCCAGGTACAGTCAGGAGGTACCAGGGCTCCAGGGCAGGCGTTTGGCAGCGGCACCACGGGGCATTGGGTACCTGTGGGAGCAAAGGATGCTGAGCGTGAGATGGAAGAGAGCCTCCACTGTGTCTGCACACACACAGACTGGGAGAGGTTGGGGTGCTGAGCACCCTGTCTGAATGCCCCCCAAAGACAGTGGGTTGCTTCATTTATGTGGGTTTTCTGACTGCTGCAGCCGCTGTTCTCATGTGTGAATTGTTTTTACCTGGGGACTCCCACCATTTTCTCTTCCAGTTTTCACTTGGATTTTTGGCTGTTTAAGGGCCTTTTTTCCCCCCTCACTTTGCTGAGGAAGAAGATCAAAGCAAAATCCTTTAGCAACAGGGTCAGGCCCTAAGGCTCATGCTCCTGCCTCACTCAGCAGCAGGCAGGGGAGCTGCTGCCCTGGGGCTGGAGGAGAGGGACCTGGGACAGGCAGAGCTTCCTTCATAGTGCTCAAACCAACCTGCCTGCAATGAGTGAGGGTGAGTAAGAGGAAAGCCCATCTCTTCTCTAGCGCATTGAGCACGTGTCCTGAGCACGGGCTGCAGAGGGATAATGTTTTTAGGATATTTTTCCTTCCCTTTGTGGATCCCCAAGCAGCTGGGCACTAATCTAGGGCCTGGGAGAAACTGTTTTCCAGCCCCTGCTCTGCTTCTGTTCACTACAGTGACTATGGGCAGGTTACCTTGGTCCTCTCCTCTGCGGTGCTCCACTGGTGTCAGCAGGCAGGAGCCCCCTCGCCCTGGGGAAGGCGTTACAGACCCAGAGGGATCTTTATCTCTGCGAGGACTATAGGAATACAGTAAACAGACAGTCAACACCGGGCTAAAATGAGATCAGCACGTAAGAGGATTAATCAGAGATAAGGAGAGATGGAATAAAATTTGCAGTGCTTTTCTCCCTTATTTGTGTGACGCTTCAGCTGCCTGATGGGGACTTGGACTGACACCAATTCCCCACCGCTGCTCTCTGCCGCTCCGTTACTGCTGCTGATGGAACCACTCAGCCTCTGAGTTCCCTGATTTCAACCCTGGACACCTTTGCACTGTGTTCCCTTTGCTTTCTGGTGGTCCTGGAGACAAACAGTCGGCCCCATGGGGAGGAAGCGGCTTACAGCAGGCAACGGGTGCCAGCCCCAGGAGCTCCTGCCCCTCTCATGCTGCTATGGGCAGCTTGAACCCAAATGGAGCCTTTCCCGCAGGAGACAGCAAATATACATAAAGTGTCCCCAGAGCCTTGTGCTCCTCAGGGGCAGCAGGACAGCTCCCTCCATGCCTGGCACCGGGAGAAATCTATTGCAGCATACAGAGTCCAGAGGGGAGTTAGAGAGAGGAGATTTACAGGTGCTTTATATCCCATTAGTGAGAGGGTGCAGCCTGCATGCCCTGCCAGGAGGCTGTCAGCCCCTTGCCCCCAGCGCCACAGAAAGAGGCTTCAGAATACGATCAAGCGCTTCTGGCTCTCATGAATCACAGGGCTCTCGCTCTGGATTTACAGAGAGCACTTCGCTCAGCTGATGACTTGCTGGAGGTTTTGGGGACTGGTCTCTCCACCCAGCACAGCGCACAGAAGAGCAGTGCGGGGACCTGGAGCAAGGGATGCCAGCAGAGAAGGCAGGATGGCAGAGGGGACAGCAACATCCCTAGCTCAGAAGGCTTTGTGACAGGGACTGTCCCACTAAGCCCCAATACTGTCACCAGAGCTACTCAGGAACCAGCTTGCAGGAGGCGACAAACAGCACCATTGAGTCCCCTCCACTCCTGCCCTTTTCTGGATCCCTTTCTGGTCTCTGAGGCTCAGTAAAGCTCTTGAGTCAGATAAAGGCAAACCCATTAAAACACAGAAAAAGGAGCAGGGGAGCCTTTGAGCACGACTCTTTCAGCCTGGGGCTGCCGGCATCTCTAGCTTCTCTATAATCTCTTTATAACCTTCTCCGGGCTCTCCTGCCTGTGCCAGCGTTGCTCCTGCGGGTGCAGGGTGAGGAGAGGACCCTGCAAGCTGCAGCACACTTCCAGGTAGCCAGCCCTATATTTAGAGACAAACCTGCCTACGTGTACTCTGCTTCCTACACGTGCGTACACAAACGGTGCAGCCTTGGGAGACGGCATCTCTGTTTGCTGACAGGAGGCACGTGCCTCTCACCAGCACACACATCACCTGGAGGAGCTCACCTGGGGAAGCAGCACGGGCATGGGGATGCAGTGGTGGCACAACATGACACGGGTGCCCCAGGGTCCCCGAGGGATGCACACAAGTGCGCTTCCCCAGGGGATGCAGGCACACGTGGTCCCCTGGGGGATGCAAGCATTCATGGTCTCCCGTGGGATGCAGGTACACATGGTCCCCTGTGGGATGCAAGCATTCATGGTCTCCCATGGGATGCAGGCACCTGGGATCCCTGTGGGATGCACACACACAGTCCCCTGTGGGACACAGGCACGGGCGCTGGGAAGCCCAAGGGACCTCCTCTTCCACCAGCCCAAATGCCACCCAAGAACCTGCCTACAGCACAAATCCCTGCTGGCCACACAGCAGCTGCCTCCCCGTGGCACACACAGCCCCATGCTCTGCCAGGGCTCCCAGACACGCCACCAAGGTGGCACTCACTCAGCTGTGGCCGAAGAGGGAAAGAGGGTGCCAGGGCAGGCTTTTTGGTCCCCGTATTAACAAAATCACCAGTAAGAGCTCATCACACCCATGCCCTGCACACACCCATGGCATCTGGAGAGCACTGGTAATGCAGAGAAATGAAACACCAACAGGTTTCTGAACTAAACCAAACCAAATCAAATGAAACCACTTATAAATTATCAGTCTCATAGGTTTACCTTCCCCTGTCAGATGAAGGGGAGCCACAATTCATGCTGCTGCTTGAAGGTGAGCACCAACCACCTCAAGTGGAGCCAAGCTGACCACATCCCACGCAAGACTCTTGATGGAGATGCTGGTGTGGCTGCTGCTGAAGGCACAGTAATGCTGGCAAGCATCTATACACGGAGCTTCATAGCAGCAGACCTCAGCACTCCTGCTGCATCAGAATCTGACAATTTGCCGAGTTCCTGCTGTAGTAATTAGCTTGATCAGCCCATGCAAATCAGTTTCTATTTGAAACCAGCTTTATTTAATGGGATCTGCTCAGCATTTGCCTCCTGAAATTTTCATGCAGATCAATCTTCCCCATTTCAGGTGTGAAAGGCAACTGGGGAAGGGAACGGCTTCACCTGCCCCACCACGGGACCCAGCTTGGCACTCACAGGCAATTTCTCAGCTTCATTACTCATGCACAAGTTGATGCCTTTTCCAGAAACAAAAGGGCTTAGGCTCTGAAAAGCCATCTCCTCTGGCGATGGATTATGTCATTGGATTGTTCCAGTCACTTAGAGGAGCCTTTAGATAACCGAGTCTGCACAGTTTAGCCCTTGGTGTCAGCAGGTTCAGAAGGAGAACCCCTCCACTGGGGCCTATTTTGGGTATGCAGATCAGACATGCACAAGGAGATTCATTTTCAGAGGTGGAAGCTGAAAAAGCAATGCCAGTTCTCATCCGTTGCTGGCTGACATTTTATTTAATAGGCTATTTATTTGCCTCGGCGTCCCCAGCAGCAACTGCCTCTTCAACCAACCATAACTCACCGAGAGCACTTTTCCCAGTGCCAAACCAGGGGTCCCAGCTCCTTCCTGGGAGCAGTTAATGGGCCCTCAGGGCAGGGGTTCCCCCGATAGCTGATGGCATTAGCAGCAGAGAAGGCGTTAGGACAGCAACCTGCCTGAGGCTGATCAATGCCACGTCCCTTGTGCTGTGGCTCCAGGAGCCCTTGGATGGTTCCATGTCTTCCAACACTGACTGATAACCCCAAATGGACAGACACCCCTCAGACCTCATCCCTCACACCTGATCCTTCCAGGGATGCAGAAGCCTGAACCCTCTTTGAACCACTGGGACAGGGGTCCCTGAAACCCTCAGGGAGCCTGGGCTGGAGCCCAAGCCAACCCATGCAGACTGGGTCTGTGCTGCACAGACCTTCCCCAGCTCCGTGGGCCCGGGACCAGGCATTTTGGTGTGATGTGCCCTGAGACATGCACAAACCCACAGCGAGTGAAACCCCTGCAGACACACACAGGTCTGGTCTGAGACCCCCAAGGGCCCAGGAACCCTCTCACTGTCTGTCCCGCTTGGGTTTGTCTCCTGCCTCTTTCCTGTTCACCTTCAGAGCCCTGCTACAGTGCTCCCCACTGATGTGCAGAGGGCTTTAGCTGGACTCGGTGTCTCAGCCCCAGCAGGGCAGATACAGAGCAGGTCTCAGAGGCTGTGCTCCTGGTGCTTCCAAACCAGGCTCACACAGGGCAGATGAGAGATTCCCAGGGGAAAAACCCCTTTGGCAGAAGGGGGATGCCCAGGAGGGTGTCTCATCCCTGCAGAGAAGGGGTCAGGGCGGCAGGGCAGTGTGTGCTGGAAGCAGGCAGCTGCCGGGACACTCCAGCCCGCTCTGCTCTCCTCTTTTCTCTCTTTCTCCCTCTCCTTTTCTCCAATTTATCTTTCTGACACTGTCAGCGATGCTTCCACAGGCTGAAAACAACGGAGACAGAGCTTCAGCCAAAGCAATTTCAGAGCTGAATCAAAGCTTAAATGACCTAGGCAGAGAGCAGCTGAGCAGAGACAACTCGGCACGGGGGGGACAGAGCGGTGTGGGTGTCCTGTTCTCCTGCAGAGCTACGATTCCTGGCCAGCATGGGGGACAGCATGTCTCAATCTCCCCTGCTCGCCTGCCATCCCATTCTGCCCCCTGCAGCATCATTTCCCCCCTCCCATCGATGCAAGCCCCACCAGCAGCACAAAACCGGCCCTTGCAGCTGTAGCTGAGTAAGTACCTGCTCACCCAGCACACCAGCTCCGTGCTCTGCATAGCAAGCAACAGCTTCTGCTTTCCTGACCTTACAGCCCTGCAAAGCAACTCAAATCTTCCAGGCAGATTTTTTCCCCTACAGATGCTCCTCTGCTTCTACATGAAGGAGCTGGGAAGGAGGGAGGGATGGATGGGTAGATGGATGGATGGATGGACAAGGAGAAGGGTAGATGATAAGCTGATTTCTGCCAAGCAAATATATCTGGACTCTTAACAAGGAACAAGACAAATCCTCAGCATGACTCAGCCTGGAAACACATGCTGCTTCCCAGCCCCACTGTAGGGACCAGCACACCCCCATTGCACGGCCCCAGCCCCATGATGGAGCAGCCCATGGCCGCCACCCCAGCACCCATCCTGAACGCATTTCACAGGGGGGGACAGGTAGAGCCAGGCAGCTCCTGAGGCACGGACAGGCTGTGCATGCTGAAAAGCAGCCGGGCAGAACGGGGGTAGACGCTGTGCAAGACGAGGAGCTGTGCGTGGCTGACACGTTGCTCAGTCTCTCGCAGACCTGAAAGCAGCTGTCAGAGCCTGTCTTGTTCCAGCTCCCTGCCTCTCCAGACACACCGGTAATTCAGCTTCGCTGTGTGCGTTCCCTCTCTGAGGGTGAAGGGATTGAGCGCTGGAAGCCTCATTGCTTTCAGAGAGCACCAAGAACACCCAATGGAGCAGAGAAATGGAAGGCACGGGACCACAAGCATCCCCCCAGCCTGGTGTGTGATGGCATCCTGTGCCCCAGAGCTCCTGCCAGGAGGACAGTGGTCCATACAGCACGCTACTCAAATTCAAGGGGCTGGGGAAGGCAGCAATGTGTCCTGTTCCTGTGTTTTACATGTGAAACTCCTGACCCTGCAGGGCTCCACAGCTACCCCAGCCCCAAGGAGCCCATGCCATCCTTACCTAATCCCCAGCCAGGGCACTGTGAGCACTTCTAAGCATCACTTCCTCGGACCATAGGAATGTTGGAACCCAGTTCCATCTCTCTGGAGGATATAGCCTAGAGACCATTAACCCACAGCTGAGCATCTTCCTAAGAACATGTAAATAAAGCCACAGCCCTGCTCACTGCCCAAACACGGGGGGAAAGTTACTTACAGTTTACGATAAACACTGTTGTGTGGAAGCCAGAAAGTGACAGCTCTGAAGATGGCATGTCAGCTCTGGCTGTGCCAGGAGGACCTGTCAAACTGTCACACAGCATTAGCTGCAACATGCTCCTGCACAGCACCCTGCAACCGGCACCCCTGCTGTGCCACAGCACCCAGAGCCCCCAGCACATGGGAGTGCTGCCTCCCCACATC